TATTGTATTGTTAATGTCTCATCAGTGATAGTGTTATCTACTGAACACACTAACAATTACTAATCTATCATCAATATACATCAGTACTAGTGTCATACTCTCAACTGACCTAACTATACACACACACACATCATTACAATACTATACACACACATACCTTCCTACAACTGTACTGACCAGTAGTGATACTATCAAATAACAAACATTCATTAACTAGTTGATTCTTCTTATTCTTTCCACCAATCACTACTAGTGTAGGTGAGGTAGAGTCACCATTGATAATAGCACTAGCATGATCATATCTTTCCATAGGCCACAGTCCCTCATTAGGTATTGCTCCTGGTTTCAGTATCTCCCAGTTCTAGATACATAAACAAATACTAATAATATCAGTCAGCGTAAATATGAATAATGGGTGTGGCTATACAAATAATGGGTGTGACATGTCAAATTAATCCTAATATTTAATTGGGGCGAGCAAAAGCGAGCCCCACATAGTCGAGTCGAGTATGTCTGTTTGTTTGTACATGTACGTCACCCCTATTTATGCGTCTATAAAAATAATCAAACATTTTAAAATAATAATTTTGATAATTACAGTACCACGTGCAAAAACAAAGAGCAACTTTAGTCATCACTGGACGAGAGGAGTTCAAGAGTATTCAAAAAACAAGAGAAGCTGAAGCTTCTTAAGTTCTTCTTCTTCTTCTTAAGCTTCTTGAGTAATTCACAAGAAGATGCTCGTGAAACTCGTCGACTTCTTCGTGATGAGCGCGAGAAGGGGCAAGACTGAGGAGGAGAAAAGAGCAAGGAGGTCCAAATGCTAGAAATAGGTCTTGTCGCACCCAAAGACAACAAATGGAGTCTCCTTCTGGCTTCTGAGACCAACTATCTTCCATCCTAGATCTATATAACTGCAGAGATTCTTCACTCAAAGCTAGAAGCTAAAATTCCTTCCATGCAAACTCTGCATTAGTGTATTGACATCAACAATCAACATTAATAGCCACTACATCATTGTCTATATAGACATTGTATATTGCTAATCGAAATGTTAATTGTCAGATCGTTTTGCTCGCCCCTTAATGTTTTACATTCGCCTAGTGATTTGATGTTAATGAGGTGAGGTTAGTGGTTGTGTTTAGTATGTACAAGTACTGGAGGTATAACAAATCTATTGGTACACAATATACTTGATAATATGAAATACCATACTAAGTATGACTATACACT